CCCATGGCTTTCGAGGTTTGGATCCGAACAGGGCCAATGGCAGCGGTTAAACCACGGCCAGCAAAAGACGACTTTATTGTCTTCTGCAAGCATCCATTTAGGACTGTGATATCTCTTTTCTCTGAAGGAGTGGTTTTAATCCCTTCAGCCAGCCATCTATCATAGGCTGCCTGATGAAAACAGAGCCGTATTTGGACCTTCCTTCAGACGCCATCTGACGATTTTCCATCCGTCGTCAAAGGTTCAGGATTATTATGACCTTTGGAGGAGAACCAGATCACAGTGCACTGAAATAAGAATAGAGCCATGAGTTCGTGGTTGGCTGAACCGAGTTGCGGGAAGTGCATCGCGAGACATTCGCCGGAAGCGTTGATGTCCTCGTGGCTCTGCCCGTGGTCTCCAAGAACCGGGGTAAACGTTCTCAATTCACCACACCTTGGAGGGGAAAGAGAAGGCCATCATCCCCAAAACATTTCCATCTCTTGCTCAAACTGGTCATTGCGAAGGCTAGCTCCGCCAAGCACAGCTATATCCCGTAGCGAGACAATAGGTAGAAGCCCGAAGATGGTTCTGTCACGTTGTCGTCGAGACCGTTCTTGGTCCAGTGCACTGGTCGAGTGTACGCATTCGTTCACGCATGGCCTGATCGTGGCAGCCACAGTCAAAGTGGTTAAGCAGGGCGAACAAGCTTCGTGGCTTCTTTTGTGGTTTCCGATTCCTTCCTAACTGTGGCTTCCTCGTCACTCGCCCGAATCATGACAAACATGGTAATCAAGGCCCGGTGCGCACGTATCGCAAGCGCTGTCAAACGTTTACACCACCTCCCGGGTCTTTGACGCCACAACCCGATTGCATCACCATCGCGGTATTAAACAAAAATTAACCACCGCGAAGATCCGCAGTTCGATATTAATTGCCCGGTGTTCCCGTTACGGTTACGCTCGTGTGCCCGTAATGTGGGCAGGGCTGGCTGGGATGACTGCTCCGGGGTTCGGGCACAGCCGCCGCAGCGGCCGCACCGCCTCGATTCCGCACCCGGGCATGTCGAGTGGGTCTGATGCGATTCCGCTCCTTCGTCACCGCCACGGCCGTGATGAGAATTCTCGGACAGGGTCATGCTATCCGGCCTCCAAGCTCATAGAGGATATGCCGCGCCGGGCTAGACGCCGGTGGCTAGACGGGGGACACTTCCTGTCGCGGGAATGAGGCCAAACTTTAATTGAGTGCCGAACTTGATGTCTCTCTGTGTCAAGTGCCGGCCGGCTTGTTCCAGGCCTTGGCCCCTCTTCCGTCATCTTGGTTCGGCGTGTCGTCAATGAGGCTGATTTAGGACCCTCTTCATCTTCATGCGAGGGTTTGCGCGGCGTATCGGCACAGCCCACGTGAGCGGAGACGCAAGCGACGTGTCTCCAGAAGCTTGTTTCCCCTGCAGCGGCCATGTCTGGGATCGCGAGCTTGTCGGAATATCGGCATCAGAATGGGTCTGGGAAGACCCTTTGAGACCCAGTATCTTAACCTTGAATGGATACATGGCAACGTGATGCGACGGGCTGGTCACGGCGAGAATGTGATGGCCTTGCCTTGAACGGACGTCGAACATCATGAACATGTCATGGGGCGCTTTGGCTGCAGAACCATGACCTCAGATTTCGACTTCTAGTTCAACTTATTATGTGTTATGGATATGCCTATCATGATTATTTTGTCCATGTTTAGACTTTATTCTTCTTATAGCTTTCAAGGAGATCGAAACATTTTGGTGTTGGAGACGATACAAGATTTGATTGCTCTTTCCGGACTGGCTTGAGTTTTTTGGGTAGGTATGTATGGGTTTATGAACACAACAATTCACATGGATCTCCACTGCGATCCTTTTCATATCATTTACAGCTATAATCCACGGTTATCAAAGCCATCGGTTCAGTATAATTTAGTTACGGACATACTTAAGGTAAAATACGTTGAAGGAGAGAAGCCAAGATGACGCGGAATTTCCATTTTTGCATGACTTCAATATTATAGCTCTTTAGCACAACGTTTGCGATGAATGTGCCATTTGAGATGCTGTACTTGTGTAGGCAATATGGAGGGATAGCGTAGAAACCCAGACAGTTGAAAACTCGCTCTTCGTGAGATATACATGGTGACGAGATACCTGGGCTAGGATATGGCGGAGGACGGCCAAGAGCCCTTCGGCTATGTAACCAATTTTCTACGTTGGGTATGTAGAGAAGCTGTCAGAGCCACGCAGGAAGGTTGTTTGTCCTCATTTCACTTCACCGTCTGGCCTGGTCAGCCGAATGTGATCTCGAAGTTACGGAGCAACCTCCGCCCAGAGTAATACCTTACATCAAGTTCACCTGGTACGTGGGCACGATTCATACATGTCGCACTGGCACCTTGACTAGTGCCATCTCACACTAAAGGACGAGAGGAAGGCAGTATGAAGACTAGTATGAAGACCATACTCGTTTGTACTACCGGCGTCAACCCTTTAAAAGTCGTAGAGTCGGGAGGCGCGCGGTCAGAAGGTCTGTTGCGGTAAGCAGACAAAAGCATTGTACACGGCGAGAGGAAGACGACTCGACTATCAAGCATATCCGGCATAGTATAAAACCTGCTTGTATTTGCGAGAAAGCCCTTTCAGCTGCCCGTGGACTCGCCCATAGGAGCCATACTCGGCCAATGATCCAAAGACCTGTTGTTTATACATTCGAGCCATGAGTGTACTCGGACGATGATAACACTGGCTCGACAGCGATACCGAGGAAACATCCCCGAGCATACCTTTCACTCTGCTCTATCCAGTACAAAAAGAATACACGCACCATGACAACGCCGTAGTATGCATCCGAAACCCGCCTGGTATTGCGCATTTGTTTTAGGCCGCCCCATTACGGCCGTGGCATTGCCCTCAAACGCGCGAACTCATTGAAACTCATAAGTCTTTGCACGCACTCTCCCCCTCTTGCTGTTCTCACGCTTACAGTCGGATGTTGATGTCTAGACACTCGACCCGCCATTCCCTCCGTCCCAGGAGACTGCGCAGCCATTCGATGCCCAAGCCGGTCCACTCTTGTCTTTGACGTGCCAGCTCTTCGGCAGCAGCACCGGCCAGGGCGCTGGCAGTCGAGTTGATCACCTCGACGACAGTGGCATTGAAGCTCGCGTTCGGATCGATGTCGGGTATCGGGGAGGTGGAGAGGGAGGTCGGCGGGCGGGGCTGGAACCAGTTGCTGCTGAAGTCGAAGAAGCAACGGTCGGACCAGTTACACGAGGTGAGGAAGAGGATGAGAAGCAGGAAGCTGCAGTAGACGCAGGGTCGGTTGAGGAAGTAGGTGCAGATGAAGAAGAGGAAGATGAAAGCGGGAGAAGCGTTGGTCGGGATGAAGAGGAGCGGGAGCCAGCTGAATTGCGCTGTTAGCAGGCATGACTTTGCGACTGGGTAGATATGGATGATTTACCTTCGCAAGCAAAACATGGTGGAGGGTTGAGGTGGTGACGTAGAAGAGGGTGGGTTGTGGTCCCTTGACGGGATTGTTTCGCTGGGTTTCTCCGGCCGGCAATCCTCAGGGCAGGACGGGACGGGGGAGTGGCGGCTCTGAAGGGCGCAAACTCTCGATGAGGAGGATGTGTGATTGACGTCCGAATGGCAAAGGGACTGCGCCCTGGTCCTCGTGCCGTGGTTTGCGGTATCGTGCCGAACGGAGTCTCGTGGGTTTTGACAGGCTGGAGGGGAATATCACGGATGCCAGCCGATCGCAACCGTGGGCAGAGCGAAAAAGTCTTTGCGTGTGTGTCAGACAATGGCCGGTTGCCTTGTAGCGACGCCGTCAACAGCTGGTGGAATGTAAGGCAGAGGGGAGCAAAGTACGAGGGTTCATTGACTCGGCTGTATGCGTGCGGTTGTGTTGCGCTGTGCTGTGCTGCGCTGCGGTTGTTCTTGGATCAGCACCAGCACCAGCACCAGGTAGCCAGCCCACCGGAGACTTGCTTATGTCAGACACGACGACCAGGACACTGGACACTGTGATGTTCGGATTCTGCAAGCGGGCAGAAAATGGAAGTCTCGAATGTGAAGTGGGGGGGGGGGGCCCTTGCTCTGCACCACCCACGACACTGAACACTTGAACTGTGACTGGAGCAGGCGCACGGTCCACGTCTCTCTGGTTCCAGCATCCACCATCTCCACTCCAAGCAGTGTCCACTGTCCAGTGTCCCTGGCCTACCAACACAGAAGGTGCTCGTTGCTTACCTGAGGCGCGCCCGGGCCAATGAGCTATGGCCAGGCATCACCAGGCACCTCTGCATTTCTCCGGCGACCGGGAGGTATCCGTACCTAAGGTACTGGAGTAGGAGCTTCATCAACCTTCAGCAGCTTCACAGCAGGAGCAGCAGGAGCAGCAGCCCCCCAGCGTGCCTGAGCTCCATTGCCCTGGTCCAGGAACCTCCCTCCCATCGCTTCCCCCCCCAAATCCCAATGGAAATCCGCACCAGTGCTGCACCACCCACTGAACGGCCCTCTCTTCAGCACGCGGACGCGCCAATCCACACGCCAAAGCTGCCCTGCCAAAGCTAAACCCCGTGGAAGCTGCTGCTCTGAGGTGCTCCCCATCGGCCCTTCCTTCCCTCCGCACCACCACACGCACCTACCTACCCGACACCGACACCGACTGACCTGGGCAACCTGCACCTGCACCTGCGGCAGGTCTTTCCCATTCAATTCAACCACGTCACCCCCCTGCACCACCTTCGCTGGCGCTACAGGGTTGTGTTAGGTTGGGCTGAGATTCCAGCCTCCCAAGTCATCGATCCCGTCCCAAAATTATTTTCAGATCCTCTTTTTCGCCTTCCTTTCCTCCATCCCCTTCAACTCTCTCTACATCTCCAATCAACCACCATCAATTCAGCGTCACGACGGAAGGGTCATCGCGTCAATTGTCCTTCGTTTCCCTCGTCGAATTAATCCCTTCCCTCCCCTCCCCGCCCCAGACGCCATCATGGTGTCGCCCATGCCCCCGGCTCCGACGCCCCCCGGAGGCAGCGCGCCTTCAAACGGCGATCGCACCACCAACTTGTTGAACTTGCTCAAGTTCAGTGGTGCCGGAGGTGGTGGCCAAGCTTCGCAGTCACAGTCGCAGTCGCAGTCTCAGCCTCAGCCTCGCCAGGACCCTCCGAGCTACCAGCAGCATCAGCAGCATGCCTCGCAGTCTTCCCAGCAGTCTCAGCAGATCCAGCACCAGCATCAGCCGGATCAGTACCAGCAGTCGCCTCAGCAGCACCACCAGCAGCTGCAACAGCAGACGATGCCTTCGTCCATCCCGACCCAGATCGTTGCACCGGCTCGCGCCCCCGCCGACCCGACCGGTCTGCTCGCCGCTCTGATGAAAGGAGCACACGATGGCGAAGAATCGCGACCGGAGCCTTCCCAGAACGGCTCCTTCGCGAACTTCGGCGCCGCCGCATCGCCCCCCGATGACACCCGCGCCTACCTGCTGAATCTGCTGAACCGCCCCAAGCCTAGCCAGAACGACATGCTCTTGATCGAGTCGACTCGTTCTCCTCTGCCTCAGGGCGGTGAAAACATTCTCCAGAGAGTCCTCGCCGAGGCTGGACAAGCTCCCCCCAGCCTGTCGCACCTGCCCTCAAATTCCTCCTTCGAATACGACCCCAACACCTACGCCCAATCCAGTGGCAATTTCAGCACCTATTCCTATCCTTCGACGCAGGAGGCCAATCTGCCGCCTGTTCACTCGCAGCAGCAGCAGCCTCAACACCAGCAGCAGCAATATGGCTACAACAATGCCAGCAGCAGCTTCGATGAGCCTCACATCACTTCGCCACAGAACCGCACCCCCAAGTCTGGTTCCATCTCGGGTATCGCCCCACCTCATTCTGCTGGCCAGTCACCTGCAGGCCCGGCTTTCCAGATCCTGAAAAAGACCCACGACTCTCCGAGCTCTCATCACGGAAGCGAATCCAAGCGTATCAACAACGAGCGCAGCCCTCTCGCCTCCCCCGAGCGTGCCCGCCACAACCTTGGCCACGGTTCTTCCCCCGCCGATAAACTTGCTAACCCCACCCCCGGCTCAACTGCCTCGTTTGCAAGCATTCCCGCCGCGGAGAAGAACAAAGAGACCGTGTCGGAAGCTGTTCACGACATCGCCGAGCAGGCAGATTTCGAGGCTCAGCAGGCTCTGGCCCGCGCTGAGGAAGAGCAGTCGCGGCCCGAGTACCTGCAGGATCTGGAAGACATGGACACCGCCCGGACTGAGAGAGAGTTCGAGGCGAGCGCCCACCATGCTGCCCAGGCCATCAAGAAGGAGCTGGACCGCGAGGAGAACAGACATCTCCTCGAGAAGGTCGTCTCTGCCGAGGTCGCCGAAGAGGTTCGCGAGATTGTCGAGGAGGCTGCTGCGCACGCCGTCGCCGACAGCTGGGAGAGCGCCGACCAGGATGAGATCGTGGTGATTGAGGAGGAAACTCCCTCGCCCGTCAAGGTCTTCAACTTTCCCATGAAGCCTTGGATCTCAATTGGCCTGCAGGATGGTGCCACCGAGCCCCGTCCCCAGTTCCGCGACGAGGCCATCATGGACATTGCTCGTCTCAAGAAGGAATTCGACCAGATCGATCGCAACCTGTACACCGCGACGGAGAGCTACATGGCCTACGGTATGTCCAAGGCCGGAGGTCTCCGTGTCATCCGACAGGACGACGGCAAGGATGCAAAGATCTTTACCGACACCAAGGATCGCATCTTCAACGTCGCCATGTCGGTTACGCCCGCTGACCACAGTGGCACTCACCGCGAGGCCATCATCGGTACTGGCATTAGCGGCACCGTCTACTGGGTTCAGATCAAGAGTGGCGAGAAGGACCACATTGAAGACGCCCACCCCGAGCAGTATGGCTTTGCTCTCCCCCCCATGGCTTCCCACGAAGGTGGTGACGCCCCTGGTGGTGTCCTCAAGACCCGCGCCCGCACCTCGACCATCCACCCTGAGTTCTTCGCTGTTGGCCGCGGCAAGTCGATCAACATCATCTGGCCCACCTACATCATGCAGAACAACCTCTTCAAGCCTGGTCATGACCGCGTCGTTGACACAGAGAAGCTGGCCAAGCAATGCTCGTTGAAGATCAATACCGGTAAGGCCGGTAAAGACTTCACGTTCAGTCAGGATGACAGCGTGATAGTGTCTCTTGACAAGTCTGGTCGCGTCAAGTTCTGGGACGTTCGCGACCTCACTGCCGCTGAGGAGGGTAGCGACGCGCGTTGGCCCTTGCCCGCGCATACCTCGCTCGAGATCAAGGAGCCTCTCATGACTCTGACTAGCACTCCCGAGGGTGAGAAGGCGTGGCCTACCTCGGTTCTCTTGGTCGATAAGCTCCGCCCCTACCAGAAGCGTTGCGCCCTGCGCTACATGATCATCGGCATGAAGCAGAACCACACCCTGCAGCTTTGGGATCTTGCTCTCGGTAAGCCGGTCCAGGAGTTCAACCTGCCGCACAGCAAGGAGTCAGACGCTGTCTGCAGTGTCATGTACCACCCTCCCACTGGCATGCTGGTCATTGGCCATCCGACCCGCAACTCGATCTACTTTGCGCATCTTTCGGCTCCTAAGTACAACCTCAAGAGCGTGTCGCAGGTTGAGTACATTCAGCGCCTGGTGGCCCAAGATGCCTCCATCCCGCAACCCGACTCTACTGCTGTTATTAGTGGCGTGCGTGAGTACTCGTTTGCGAACCGGGGCATTCTTCGCAGTCTCGACATTTTGTGCAACCCTGCCATGAGCCAAGAGACCGACGAGCCGACTCTTTTCGAGCTCTACGCCATGCACTCCAAGGGTGTTGCCTGCCTTCTCATCAAGCAGGCTGAACTCGGATGGTCCAAAGACAACAAGGTCCTGGCTCCCGTTGATGCTGTTGAAGCCGGTGTTGTCACCATCTCCAAGCTTAAGCCTCCTGCCGCTCAGCCCGCCGAGCCTTCCCACCAAAACAACGACGGTGGTCATCCTTCGGCCCGTAACATTGCCAAGGAATCTCTGCTCCAGACCACGCCTTCCCAGGACGATGGTACCCCCCGCCGCGGCCCCGAATCCGTTACCCCAGTCAAGATCGCGAAGGCCGAGGCCAAGGACGAGGAGACGCCGGCTCCTGTGCCGCCTGTGAAGGAAGAGAAGCAGGAACGCAAGCGCCGTAAGAAGAAGGCCGCTGCCGCCGCGGCGGCTGCTGCTGCTGCCGCCTCTACAGACCCGCAATCCAACGGATCTCCTCGCGTCGGTTCTTCCAACAACAACTCGAAGGACAAGCAGCAGCAATCTTCCAACGCCATCACGCAAGAGTCGGTTGAATCTGCAATCAGCAGCATGGAGTCTCGTCTGCAGAACAGTCTCAACGGTCTTCTCAACACATCCTTCAAGACCCTGCACAACCGCATTGAGGATGGCCTTCGTGCTCGCGAAGCTGACTTCACCGAGCGCCAGAGTCAACTCCTCAACATGGTGTCTGACGTCCTGAACGAGAACACCCAGAAGGTGCTCCACGCTCTCATCAACGAGCAGTTCAGCACTGCCGTCATTCCTGCCATTTCCGATGTCGCCTCCAAGGCGGTATCTGACCAATTCTCCAAGAGCATGAATGCTCAGGTCTCCCACTCTGTTCAGAAGGAGATTCACAAGGCCCTTCCTTCCGCGACCCAGCACGCGCTGCAAAACGGCGACTTTGTGAAGGCCATCTCTGACAGGGTCGGATCGACCGTCGCAGCTAATGTTCAGCAGGAGGTTGTCAACACGTTGACCGCCCGCCTTGGCCCGTCCTTCACCAACATGGCTGTCCAGGCTTGCCAACGCGTCGCTGGCGAGCTTCAGAAGCAGCACCGCACCGAGATGGAGGCCATCAACGCCCAGCGCCTTGCCGAGACTAAGAAGATTGACCAGCTCACCAACGTGGTCACTCAGCTCATGGGCACGGTCTCCAGCATGGCGGCTACTCAGGAACAGTACCAGAACGAGTTTGTCAAGCTCCAGCAGCACATCGTATCTCAGCAGCAGATCATTCGCGCCCAGGCCCAGGCCCAGCAGCAACAGCAACAGCAACAGCAACAGCAACAGCAGGCCCAGCAGCAGCAGGCCCAGCAGCAGGCGCAGGTGCCCCATCACCACGCCGCTCCATCGTACGCTCCATCTGTCGTTAGCCAGGTTCCAAGCCAGGCCCACAGCCAAGCTCATAGCCAAGCTCAAAGCCAGGTCTACAGCAACGTCCAAAGCCCCGACCGCGCCTCGCACCAGTCCATGGGCTACGGTCACTCGCAGGCCTTGACTGTTGCGAAGCCTGATTCTGGATATGACGCGGACCTGCAGGCTCGCATTGCTGTTGTCAACCAGTCAATGAAGGAAGGCAGAGCTGAGGAGGCTGTTGTCCGCTGGATGCAGTCTGGCCGCGAGCAGGAGGTGTTTGAGAAGTACATGTCGAAGTATAGTCCCGAGTTTGTCCGCAACTTGCCTCACTTGGTTCTCTTGACGGTGACTGCCACCGTCAGCTTGAATCTTGAGTCATGCACTCGCGAGAGAATTGCCTGGCTTGAGATGGTTGTTCACAGCCTGCAGGTATCTCTTGGCAACATGGTAGGCATCCACCCACAATACCTTTATAGTTTCGCGAATGCTAACAACGATCCAGGATGAGGATGCCCGCGCAGTTACACCTAAGATTATGGGTATGCTGGTGGCTCGTGTGGAGCAGCTCTTCGTTCGCATCAGCAGCAGTGCCGGCAATGACCCGGTGCTCAAGAACTTGTCGCAGATCATCAACAACGCCAAGCGCGTCATGGACGCTTGCCAAGACGAGCCTCACTACGCTTAAAGGGATGGAGGATGACATATTTCTGGCATTGAGCCTTTGACGACATGACGATATCAAGTACATAGGACATTTCGACATCATACACTGCAGGATGGCTTCGCTGCTATGCGGGGCCGACATTGTTGGGGGGATAGGGCTTGGGATGGCGGCGGACATGATACCAGAGGCAGGGCAGTCGGGCAGTGAGTGCATTCGTGGCCGCGTTTCCCTGCTTGGCTTTGGAGAATGGGGTTGGTTTCATTGAGTTGCGTTTCGTCGGGCGGCGTGATATGGGCATGCGAATGGAGTCGCTTGGGCTTTGATCGATCTCTGGCCGGGCGGAAAAAAGTCCAAATTTCCTTTTCTTCTCTTTTTTTCCTTAGTTGTAATAAGTGTCGTCAGATGGCTTGGGTGTAGATTAGGGGGGTGCGTTTGGACGCCAGCCCATGACTATTCTTGGGTTTGGATGTTCCATTCAGGGGGAATAGCCGTCTTAGATAGGAACGATTTCAGTTGATATGAACAAGTGCGAAGCTTACTCGGTGCCTTGTGTTGTGGCTATTTGGGTTCTTGGATGATGCACAACGGTCTGCACAATGTCGACATACCTAAGTAGGTACTGTAGGTAAGATATGCAACGCTGCACAAATGCCGCGACAAGAGATAAAGGAGCAATGTGGCCTGTGCCCCTGAATAGAGGGTGGAACCTTGCTAATGTTGATGCCTGAGGGTGTGAGTGTTGTGCAAATTCCGTCTGATTGGGCCAAAAATTGGCGGCAACGCAGGTTGGGGGAGCTCAGTCACAAACGGACAGTGCAGTGCAGGGCAGCCAGTGCAGTGCAGTTGTACAGCGTGACAGCGCTGACCTGACTTTGGACGGGAGTGACCACCTACCTACCTAAGGTACCCGACGGTACCTCAGCCCTGCCTGCCTGTCTCTCTTGCTTGTGTCTGTCTGTCTGCGCTGCGAAAAAGCCACCAAAACGCGACTTATCGACGAAATCTCTGCGGCCACCCATTCCCGCGCATAGCTTCCTCCTTGGTGTGACCTCTTCCTTGGCCGTGTGCTTTCTTCGTTCGACTCGATCTGAAGCGAGCAGCTGCGATCCCACGACGTCTGCCACGATCCTGAGAACCCCCAACAGCACCGGGCCAATTGCGTGGAGCAGAGTGTTCAGAGCCCTCCACTGACTAGGTGACTGAGGTGGTACCTAGATACCTCCTACTGGACCTGACCGACGTGACAGGAGCAGGACAGCGGAAAGCTCCAATTGAACAGGGGGGCCGCAGCTCCGACTCGACTGCCACCACACCCACCTCAGGTTCTCAACCACCATCCATCCTGCCAGGTTTGGGGGGTTTGGAATTGACGAACTCGCCAACGACGACACGCCGACACGAAGGAACGAACGACGACGACGGCCGACCGAGCCCACGCCAGCATCGACACCCCGACCAGTTGCCGCCGTTCATTTCCCGCCCGGCAGATGCCATAGACAACACATCACCACTTTCTCTGTCTCTATTTCTTTGCACATCAAAGGCGCGGCCGCAACAGCGGGAGCCCAGCAAAGAAGGACCTCGATCGAGCTCCATCATCACCCACACCCATCAAACACCCTTCCACCTCGACGTCTGCCGGCAGTGCTGAGCTGCTAGCTGGGGACCAGTTTCCCTTGCGCGCGTATGAGCTGGCAGGTGGTCTCGGGCATGGGGACGAACATGGGAAACGGCATGGGGCCTGGAGGAAACGAGATGGGCGGCGCCATGCAGGGCAACGGCTCTGGCCAGCCTCATGCGACCGAGTATACGCTACAGGGTACGTTATCATCGCCGACCTACCTAGGCACTGAGTTGAGAGCATGCCTCCGCTGACCACAACCCTCAAACAGGCGTCATGCGCTTCCTCCAAACCGAATGGCACCGTCACGAACGCGACAGGAATGCGTGGGAGATTGAGCGCCAGGAGATGAAGGCCAGGATAGCCGCCCTCGAAGGCCAGGCACGACGGGCCGATGCCACCCAGAAGGCCCTCAAGAAATACGTCACAATTCTCGAGAAGAAGGTCAAGGATCAGTCCGCGCAGCTCAAGGGAGGATCCAAAGCCGAGGAAGCTGCAAAGGCCGAGAAGGATCGCGCCGCCATGATCCAGGAGAAGCTTCGACGTGAGTTCGGGATGCGCAATGTGGATCAAAGACTTGCTTACAGGTGCTCGCAGCCTCGAACAAGAAGCCCACCAACGCCGACGGCAACGAAATCGATGTCGAGAAGGGCGATGACGAGTCGCAGCGCGCCGACCTCAAGTCGTTCCTGGATCAGTGCCAGGCAGAATTCACCTACCTGATGATCACTCCAGCCAACCCTTTGCCTCCTCGCGAATCGCCGCCGCTGCCGCTTCTTGAAGATCTTCGTGAGGGCGAGCCTTTCGGTGTTCCCGGTGGCAAGCCCTTCCAGGAGCCGCCCTTCCCATTCGCTTCTTCTTCCCTCGTGCCGCAGAACCATGTCCGCGAGGCCAATCGACCACCCCCCGCCCCTAATCACGCGCCCCCTATGCAAAGAAGCCAGCCGACGAGCCTCCCCATGAGGCCGGCCGAACAGCCGCCGCAACAAATGCCGCCTCCGAACCCCGAGCCTGCTCCTCCCGTCATGTACGCAGCCGGAAACGAGTGGCCGCAGCCCATGTCCGTGACTGCCCGTATGCTGGACGACAACCTGCAGCAGCGGCCTAGCCACGCCGTTGAGTCGGTCAATAGTGTCGAACCAACAGACGAGCCTCAGCAAACTAGCCGACCTGCCCCTGAGACCGACGGATGGGAGTTCCCCGAGGGCGCGTTCCCCGAGTCAAATTCATCGCAACCCCTACAGCAACTGACCAACAGACCTGATACGGACGCTTTTCCTACGGCAGATAACCTTCCCAAGTCGCCTAACCGCGGGCCAGCATCTCATCGCCGCAAAGGTTCTATGTCAAGGAGGCGCAGTGCCGATCACGAACTTTCATTGAACGCAGCCGCCCAGAAGGCGGAGACGGGCAACTTCAAGCTGCGTTTCGGTCTGCGAGGCCATCTCGACACCGTGCGAACAGTCATCTTCTCCGGCGGCGGCAGTCCTGGTGAGCCTGAAATCTGCACCGCAGGCGACGACGGCATGATCAAGCGTTTCCACATCCCCCGCGTCGACGGCCATGGCCAAACCAACGCCGCCTCTGACCTCGATGTAACAGCCAACTTTTCTCACCGTGGTCACAATGGAGCGGTCCTCTGTCTGACATCCTGGTCTCCATCCCCCAACTTCTCGACTGGCGGGCGCGCCCAAGGTGATGGCTGGATCTTCTCTGGCGGCCAAGATGCCACCATCAGAGTCTGGGAGCGTGGCAGGGTCGACCCGAAGGCGACTCTCGAGGGACACACTGATGCCGTATGGGCCTTGTGTGTGTTGCCTACGACTCTAGGCTCAGTCTTTGGACAGAACAACCAATACGGTAGTCCTGATCGCATCATGCTGGTGTCTGGAGGTGCGGATGGAACTGTCCGTCTCTGGGCGGTCAGCGCACCGCCTCAGCTGACTAGTCCTCAGCCAGGCACGAACAGGGCTGGGCCTACGGGTAGCAGAGGTCGTGTTCGCGGCAATTCTATGAGCTCTGGCAGCGCTTTCTCGAGCACTCCGCAGCCCAATATGGCTACCAACTCCCCATTTAACCACACTATGGTACACAACATCAAGAGACCCGAGGGAGCCACGGGTACCCCGACTTGCATCACACCCCTTGGCCCCAATGGCGAATCTTTCGTCGTTTCTTACTCTGACGCGGCAATTCTTGTTTACGACACCAGGACAGGGGAACAGACGGGAACCATGGATAGCTTGGAGACGTACGACGGAACGGTCAACACGAGCGTCAATGCTGTTGTGGCAACCACTGTCGGCCTGGAGCAGCCCCAGAGCGGCATGTCTGAAGAGGACAGTGGTGCTGGTGGCGGACCTACAGGAGGCGGCAGGTCGATGGCGGGATCTGGCGTCGAGGGTGTCATCATCTCTGGACACGAAGATCGGTTCGTGCGATTCTTTGATGCAAACAGCGGTAAGTCCTGGCGGATCCTGTGAAGAAGGCTACTTGCTAATGAAGTCAGGGCAATGTACGTACAACATGCTCGCTCACCCTGCATCGATCTCGAGCCTTTCTCTCAGTCCAGACGGCCGTGAGCTCATCAGCGCCGGCCACGACGCCTCCCTGCGGTTCTGGAGTCTTGAGAAGCGATCCTGCACGCAGGAGATTACGAGCCACCGCATCATGCGCGGCGAGGGAGTTTGCTCCGTCGTCTGGAGCCAGGACGGCAAGTGGGTTGTCAGCGGTGGCGGTGATGGTGTTGTGAAGGTGTTTGCACGGTAGACGGCGTATACGAAGGAACGGAGAAAAATATACAGCAGCATAGCGTCCGTTGAATGGCGTCGTTATCTTTGGGTCGGATGCGGATGCGGATGCTCTCGGAGCTTGACTTCTGATGCAAGACCCTGGCAAGAAAGACAGACGAATGGGATGATTGGGAACGAGGACGTTTAGCATGAGGAAACGAGTGAGCTCTGGGCGGCCGGTAGTGGGCTGGGGCGCCTTTGAGAAGCACGGGGACAGGATACGGGCGTGACTGTGGTGCCAGCCGTCCTGTTGTAATATTGTACTGGGGCATTGTTCATTATAACTGTCGATACCCTCCGCTATGCCTGTCGTGACTTTTCTTTTGATATTGATCGTTGGGACGTACATATAATTACCATAAATGAGAAGATGATTGACTGGGTATTATTTGGCTTCGAGAAAACTGGCTGTTACGGAAAAATTGAAGACTTGGGAGCTAAAGACAAGGTGCTAGAATTCTAGCTCCTCAACCTCCATCCCACAGCCGTTGCATTTCTTCACCGTCATCCCGTCCTCGTTCTCAACCGCCCGTCCCCATTCGTGAACGTGTTTCCCGCCACCAACGGAATCGCCAAACTTCCTCGGTCCGGCGCCGGCTGCTTGCGTGGCTTGCTGTCGCCGGATGGCCTCCGTCCTCGTCTTCCTCTTCAAGTCATTCAGCTTGTCCCGGAACTTCGCCTCTTTCCGCCGCTTCTTGTCCGCCTCCCGCTTCTCAAACTCGGCGTCCAGCTTCTCCGCCGAACCCCACTTCGTATTGAAGGCGTACTCTTCCACCTGGAAGCGCAGGAACAGCATCATGTCGTGCCAGTGCGACTTGTGCGGGTTCGGCCTCGACAGGTGCGGCAGCAGGTCCGCGTCCTTGAGCTCCTCGTCCGTCAGGAGGTAGTCCTCCTTGCACTCCGTCTTGGTGAGGAGGGAGTACTTGTCCGGGATGGACTCCTTGCAGGCGTGGCAGACCTGTATCCCAAACACCTCGTCCCACACCCAGTCGATCTCAACCGACGAGCACTCGCGGCACTTTTTCCGCGTGGCGTCGTCGGCGAGGACGCTCAGCCCGGGCTCGAACGGCCCGGCCTTTTGCCTGCGCAATTTCCGGAGGAGCTGCAGGCGCTCCCACTCCTGGCTCGACATGCCCTTCGGCTTCTCCTCCGTCGGCGGCCCGCCCGGTTTGACCTTGGGGACGAGGGCGGTATTGTGCGGGTCGTCCTCGGCCGTGAGGAAACCGCCTTTGGTGTCCGTCATGGCGGACATGTTGTAATCGACGAACTTGGCAAAGTTGCGCGCCGGGCGCAGGGCGGTGGTGTCGCGGGCATCGCGATTCGTCTCGGGCGCTGTCGTCGTCGAGATGGAAGAGTGCGGGCGTTTTGTCCCCGCGCCGCCGCCGGTGCCTGCTGCTGCGCCGGCCTTGGTGATGTGGACTGTGTCTGTTGCGATGAAGCCTGACGAGGTTGTAGGGACCGGGGCGGAGGGTGCTTCGACTTCGCGGCGGTCGCGGAGGGCTTTTGATTTCAGACGGGATTCTTCCTGGTTTGGGAGTTAGTGATGTTTGCGGCAACAATGACAACGGAGATTGGTGTAAGAGGGCGACGCACCATGCGACGAGTTGCAGCTGGCGTTGGGGGTGTTCCGGCAGGCACGGTGGGCCTTGGATTCCCCGGAGGAGTCTTGGGTCGCTCCATTTTTGGTGGTAGAATATGAGGAAATGGGTTCGGGTATCTGGGAGCTTCTGCTGTGCGACGGTGGTGGTGAGACGCGGGTGTTGAAGATGGGAGACGTGAATCTTGGAGGGGCAAGTTCTTAGGGTCGATTATGTCACCAATTGAAGCGCGAACGCACGTGCCGTTTCCGCGCTGACCGAGCTCACCGACGGCAGCTGCGGTTGCCACCCACATGCGCTAAAGAAACTACTGGGTAGATACGGCAGAATGAAAGGGAAAGGAAGGGTTGGTCAACGGATTGTTGCGATTAATGTGCAGTATCTCGGACTATCATCTACACGGATGCCGTGAGCTGTTTTGCGGCTACATTCCCAGCAACAGGCGAAAAGCAAGCGCATTGCGCCAACGCAAAAAGTACCCTGTATCCCAACACACACAGTTTTCCCCCTCCGCTTGTAGTAACCAGTTTACTCCTCCTTGGCACCACCACGGCCGGAACGCTCGGCGGCCTCGACGGCCTTCTTGTCGCTCTGGGCGGGACCGGACTGCAGACCCTGCATGATGCCGGCGGGGGCCTTGAAGGGACGCTTGAGGTCGCCGGAGGCGGGCTGGCCGAAGACGTGGATCTTGACGAGGTTGCTCTCGAGGGCGGACTTGAGGGGGATGATGGACTGGATGAGGAGGGGGTTGGTGTACTTCATGTAGATGTGCATGAAAGCCATCATGGCGATGCCCATGGCCTGAGAGCGGAAGGCCTGGCGGAGCTGGGTCGAGTCGTAGGCGTGGATGGTGGTGGTGACGAGCTTGCCCTCCTCAGAGGAGCCCATTGGGGCGGGCTCGACGTACTTGAGGGTGGTGAGGTCTGTCAAGGAACTGTGTCAGTGGTTTGTGGAGTGGCATCGGCAAACGGGAGGCAACGAACCCTTCTTCTTGTTGATCTGAGCCTGAACGTAGAGGTACAGGATGGCGATCAGGACGTTGCTGGCAATGTAGCCGGCGCGGCACATGTTCAGGACGTTCGGGTCATCGAAGGGGACCTTGCGCGAGACCTGGACCATGCCGAGCATGATGATCAGGTTGGTGCTGTGGCATTGTTAGCTTTGGCATCTTGTGATGGCTTCCTTTTTGCCTCCGCGCAGGGTCTGCATGCGACGCGGCGCGGGAGGCCTTAGAGGGGACAGGCAAACGCACATCTGAGGGCTGACCATTTTGGCGGTGTTGACGATTGACTCCTGGAATTGACGAAAGGGACGAAGTTGAACCGAGACCTCTGCAGATGCAACGAGGGTTGATGGAGAGAGACGGAGGAGGGTGGCTGGTTGGATGAGGTCGGGTACGAGAGGCGCGAACGTGGAGGTTGCGAGATTTTGTATTGGCAGCAGAGAGAGCCCTGAGGGTGAGGTGGTCGAAACGGCTGGGTTAGGTGGAGGTGGAGAGGTGCTTTAGTGGAGAGCCTTGCTGGCCGGCTGCTTTTTTAGCGCGGTCCGATTCGCGGCTTGCGCTTGGTTGCAGAGGTGAGAGGCCGCTCAGGGTACCTGTGCCCAGCTAGGTCTTTAGGTCTGGCCCAGAGTTCGGGGTCCAGCGGGATGGCGAATTGCGAATTGCACAATTTTCAGCGCTGCCCTGGGGATTCTGTAACCTTCTACCATCGTCTTTCTTCAGGTCACATAAGGTGCCTAGCTGCAGGGGTTGCAGTGAGGCTCATGTCGCCTCTTGTTGCGCGGTATGTTGGTTGCCTACACAAACGGAGAATACACTATGTTAACCGCAGGCGCATTCGATGCAACAAACCATGGATCTCTAAAGACGCCAAACTTTGGGCCATGAGAGCTAGGCTAGAATCTCCGTTGGCTGGCTACCATCTGTCTTCGTGACATGTGTCTCGGTGGCTTAAATCGTCCGTCTGGCCGATGAACCAACGCCACACCCCCATCTCCAAAACTCCGGTCCCTGTACCGCGGTTCTCAGTCTTCCATGTTGGTGAGGCGACACCCAGGATCCAAAGTTCAGGGACGCGATGAGGACACGTTCATTGATTGCAACGTGGGGAATCCTGTCAGATACCCACCCACCTGCCTGTTCAAGACAGCTTCCACCGTGCCTCATCTCGCACCTAAAATTTGGTCATGCATTCAGTTGCTTGCTTTGGCGATGGTTGGTCCCTTCAATCGTGTGTCATGTTGGCAAAGTGGTTGCACTTCAATGGCAAGACGCCTTCATATTCCAGATATGTACACGGGGTTTGCCCCTCTTGAGAAAATATCTACCACTGAAACTGATTCAGAGGGAACGCACCCAGTACCATATGCGCTTCTATGGTAGATATGCATCTAAACCATACATATTGGGCGCACGGGGTACGGGGTACGGCCCCACATCCGAATATCGCGATCGGCCTCAAGCAAATGTCTTGAGAACCGGTAGGTATGTGACGAAAGCCTTACCAGTTGTAGGCTCCATAGAGTACATGTAGTCAGCCCACCAAGGACCGGCAGCCCACCCTTCTCAAGGTTAGAGTCGTGAAAAAAGGAGGTCAGAAGGTTGGAAACTTACAGAGAGCGCCCTTCCAGACGTCCGAGTTGTCCGAAAGGTGCTGGATGGCACCCTTGACGGCAGTGACGCACTGGTCGTTGGCACCGGCACCAATCTCGCCGAGAACACCCTGCTTGTTGTTGTCCTTGAGCCACTTGGTAGCAACGGCAAGACGCTCAGCACCGATGGTGGTGCTGACGCAGGCCTCGTTGGTGCCGGAGCCGTCCGTGTCGAGGTACTGGTGCATCTCGTAGAAGAGCTTCTTGCCGGTGGCATCAGAAGGATCAGTCAGGTTCTTGAGAGCGTCGCCGGAGCCGCTCTCGATCCAGTGCCAAGCACCAGAGTACGAGTTACCCTCGATCCAGATGTTCTGGGTCGTGGCACCTGCAGCACGGATGTTGGTGATGGCGGCCTGGTTCAGGTCGTGGACCAGCGTGTTGTCCATGTCGTGGTACTCGTTGTTGGTATCGAAGATGACCTTCTCGTTGTCCTTGAAACGAGCGGCAACGGTCTTCCACCAAGCACCAAAGTCGGCGCTGCTGGTGATGATGTTGCCGTAGTAGCGGCCGTAGTTGTGAGGATCGATGACGGCGTAGGAGCCCCTGAAAATGTCAGTTCGCTGTGATTCGGTCGAGAATCTTTTCGGTGCTCACTTCGAGGTAACGTCCTTGACGAGCTGTGGCTGGGTTAGCTTACGCTGGTGTTTGAATGACAACGAGCAACACTTACGTCCTCAAGACCAGAGAAGTAGGTCTCGTTGATGGTGCCCGTCAACTTGTCAGGAATGATGCGCTCCCTATTGCATGTCAATAAGCAGGAACTTCACAGCCCATCTCTGACACTTACATCATAGTTCCAATGCGGAAGGTGTTGAGGCCAGCCGCCCTCAGGGTCTTTCTCAGTCAGCCACCTGCTTCACCTCGTTCACCACAAATACTCACATCAATAGCCGTCTTGTTGGGCCATGTGTAGTCCTTGCCCAGCTGTCCAGGCAGGTTGGCCTGGCCGAACTCGCCACCAGACTCGTTGACACCGGTGAAGGTGAATTTGCCGGCACGCTTCGTCTTGGCAGAGCCGTCGACGGGGGCCGCCAGGACCGACGCGACGGACGCAGCTCCGAGAGCCAAGTTGGAAAACTTCATGTTGTCGAAGAAAGAATGGAAATTTGGAAGAAGCTCAAAAAAATGGGGTTCAGACTAAGAAAAGAAGGTAAAGGTCGGATGAGGTCCAGAAAGCCAAGACCACCACCCCAGATCAGCCCAGAGGCACCGTAGGCTTTATACTCGGCTGTCCTCATCGCCCATCGTTCCCCTCTTCTTTTTCGTCTCGTTTACAGTTTTAGGGGGTGTGGTTCGAACTTTGGGGGCTGGCTGCCTTCGTCCAGGGCCCATCGTGACGGAGACCCTTGCTCCGTCCCATGTATAGAGCCAAAAAGGCACGCGATTTGCAGGAAAATTTGGGAACCTGGCTAGTGTGCCTGTAACATAAAGACGAGAGAGAGAGAGAGAGAGCCTCCTCCGGCTAAGCTTGCTTGGCATGGGTGATGTGCCGTGTGGGGTAGTCCCGGCAGGGAAGAGCAGATCTCGGGACCTGGACCTCCTAGGGCGCTTTTCCCTCTGGACCTTGCATCATTCCTGGTTTGTCACGTTGTGGTTATTGGTGCCGAGAATGCCGAGGATTGCGGCTGCTCAGGTCGTGGTGGTTAGTGTTAAATTGACGGGGTCGTTTTGTTAATTTACCCGCGCTAAGCCTTTTTTAGAAGGATCTCGCGGAAGAACCCTTCCGCCGCCGCCGGAAAAAAAGCATAAGTACCTGAAGTACTACCTCTGACGCGTATATCTATTATAATAATACAAAATTAAGCTTTCTTTTTACCTATCTTTAGCTATTTTAGAAAGCCTTGAAAATATATATATAATATTAAAAACGCGTTTTTTTAAACGTAAGAATAGGTTTTCTAATATTTCTAATATTTAAAGTCTAATATACTAAAAAGTTAAGGGCTTTTTAGAAAACTATTTACTAAAGTGTGATATAAAGGGGAGAAAAAATAATTTATTAAATATAGGATATAAGTATAGTACTTCTAATATTAGTAGTAGTACTTCTAACCTGGATTTAGCGATATTTTGTTCTAACTGCTAACCTAGAAGTGGTTAGCGTGGGCAAATTAACAAAACGACCCCGTTAATTTAACAGCTACCGTCGTGGTAGTCTAGTCACGTTGGGGTTAGATTATATGCAGTCTGTCTGCGTAACCATCTGAGTATATATATCTGGCGTCGGAGCAATTTGTTGGAGTGATAGCAGCGGCACTTGAGCAAATTTGAGCAAGCCAAGTGCCGTGACGGCCTGACAAAAGCAAATATGGCGCAGACAATGACATGTTTGGCAGAGTTTCCCGGCGACAGGATTCAGTTGAGTGATGGACTGATGTTGGTCTAAAGAGGGAATTAAGTTGGGCTGGTTTCATATGGCTGGGGAATCTCCCTCCGCGTGGTATAGTGGCACCCGGTTGACAAAAAAAGCTGCACACTATAACATACCCACCCTATTACACCCCTTTTGGCGCTAGTAACCTAGTATTAATTATACTAATCTAGCTAGCAAAATAAACCTTTTTTAATAATTAATTACTTAAACTACTAATAGGTTATCTAGCCCTCTTATATAATTATCTCTTTAAACTTTGAAGGTATTAAATCTACCTACTTATTAATAGATAACTATTTAAGCTTATAGTACTATAACTTTTCTGCTAATTACTTAATGTCGCCCTCTTTTTAGTAAGGGTACTACTTAATAGTCTCCTTTAGAACTTCTTAGTAGTTCTTAATTAGACTTTAATTTAGACTATTATAATAGTTAAAGTAATAACTTAGCTTATAGTTTATTTTCTAAGTCTAAACCTTATTTCTTTATAAGGAGCTATAGCTAAAGTCTCTATTCTCCTCTAATATAAATAAGTTATTATAGTTAAACTAGCGCTTAATATGAGGCTTAAGGATCTACTTAATATAATATTTATAGCTTATTTTACTATTATAGTTACTTATATTATAGAAGACTAATTTGCTCTTAAACTTATACTTAACTGCCCTCTATATGTAGATATGTTTATAGTGTTTATCTTAGGGGAAGTTAACCTCTTAGATATATTCTAAATAAAAATGCTCTCTAGGTTTATATATAATATAAATCCTTCCCTCTAGGCTTAAGCTAAAGTGATATTTATTAGAAAAATATATTATTTACTAGTGATTAATAGTAAGGTATTACTCTAGAAGCTCTCTCGCCTTATTAATATAGTCTTTAGTAGTATATAGGTTAACTTAGCTTTTATAATAGGTAATATATTTATAGTAGCTAAGAGTACTTATAGCTTATTAAATAGTTTATTAGTAGTAATTAACTTTAAGCTTTATCTCTATAAGTAAGCTTTACTAAGTAAGAGTTTAAGTATCCTATCTAGCGTCCTATAGTAACTACTTTATTTAATAGATATCTTTATTTAATAGAAGCTGTTTATACCTTTTAGTTTTATTATAGTAGGGGTTATTATAGAAGTAGCGTGGAGAGTCTTTAAATATCTTATACCTCTACTACTACTTTATATTATAGTAGTTAAAAATCTGCTATTTAGGGTATATAGGGTTGATTTTTTATATAAACTTGACTACGCCTTGAATCTTAGCCTTTTTTGGTGTACTATAGTGATTGTAAGCTATTTTTATATAGGTTAATTAATAGAGAAAAAATCAGTAAAAAAAACGGCGAAGAGGGTGGTGTTGAGGGGGAAAAATGGGTGGTAGAGTGGTGAGGTGGGTGGCGTATAGTGTGCGGCTTTTTTTGTCAACCGGGTGAGTGGGCTGGAATTAAGGGATCGCCAGCTTGACTACTTTCCCCACATTGATCATCAAGTGGGAGCACATAGAGGCCCAGACTGAGCCGCGAGGCCGGGAGGATGATGCTAGCACGGTTGCAAGATAATTGGCATCCATATAGAAGTCGGGAGACGGCTCGTGGTGAATAGGAGACAATGTGATCTCTTGCCTGTCCATGACGTTGGTTTACGGATATGAGACAAGGGGAAGATGCCATATTGGGCTGACTGCGAGCTCCCAGCACAGGCGATTTTCTCTTTTTGAGCCCGCTGGCCGGCTTGCGCATTCCAAAGGGGAGCAGGGTGGGCCTTGTGTGAAGTCCAAACTATGATTGAGTCGTTTCATCAGTTCGTGACAGGAAACAAAGTTGACCGAGTCCAGCGTTCTCTGGCCGTCTGAAACGATGGGTAGGTATCCATTCAGCGCATTGTGTGCTGCAGCTATACCGCAGTGGCTCGGCCATTTGTGCGATGAGGAGGAAATGCAATGAACATCAGGTGAACTTGTGATGCGACTAAAACTTCTGTTGTTGCGTTCGACTTTCAATTCGGTGACAATCTGCAGGCCCATGTGTTGAACCAAGCAGCACGAGGGACGGCACTTGAAGTGGGTCTCCGTTGGGGGCGGGCAGCGGTGCTGTACCGCGACAGTGGCTCATCACGTGACACGGACAAATTCTCGAAGCTCGGAAAGTTCCTCCCGCGCGCCGCAGCAGCAAGGCGTTGAATCGCGAAGAGCAGCAGCGCCATCAACCCAAGACAGGGTCATCAGCCGCCAAAATGCAACCCACGTTGGCCCTCCTGAAGAGATCGGTGTGGAAGGGTAAGTCGCAATCATCTTGCATTGATGTGGAAATGGTGAACTGACAGCTGCGCCTCCAGGACCGAACATCGTCCCGTAAGAGAACCCTTTGCGATACCCCTCGGCCAACACCCCTCGATCCTAACCTTGATGCGAACAGTCTCGCCATCGTCCGCCCAGCACCTGGCAAGAAGGTCCCTCCCATCAGAACGCAGGCTCGATCGGCCACTATTCTGCCCAACTTCGTCGGCCTCAAGTTCCAGGTCTACAATGGAAGATATTTCCTCGATGTGGTCATTACGGAGGATATGGTAGGACACAAGCTTGGAGAATTCGCGCCGTGAGTGACACATACATTGCAAACGACTTGAGCAGGAACTAATGCGCGCCTGTCTAGTACGAGAAAGCCCTTCATCTGGTCCAGATTGTAAGAGGACGTTTGCTGAGGAGCCGGGGATGTTCGGGCGAGAGGAGGAAAATGACGACCGACATTTGTACAACATTGTCAAGATACCAGCGATGCATTGTAGCATCAAAATGCCAGGCCATGTGCCGATGATGACCCTCTGCTTCATATACGAATGGGCTCTATTGTATCATTCTTTCTTGGTCGTGCGTGACTTGCCCGCTGAAACTGTAAAATCATTTTGCCATGTTCCCTGGCCCCTCGACGCCGAAGCAAACCATCCAACGCCTTGATATGTATACACCCGTCCGGAAAGAAACCTTCGTTGAAGCCCACTCCTCTACCGGTAGAACTCGCTCCTCTTGACATTGACACCGTACTCGCCCACGGCCATACCGAGGTCCTCCATCGTCAACACCGTGCGGTTCTGGCTGCCTCCTTGACCGCCGCCACCGTAGCCGGGACGCTGAATACCCAACGGGCCACCGCGGCCCTGGTCTTTTGCGCCAGCGGGGCCTGTCGGCTGGCCGGGGATGGGGAAGCCGGCGGCGGCGCCGAGGTTGCCCATGGGGTTATTGGCGTTGGAGTTGGACGCGCGGATGCGGCTGTATTGGTACGCGTCGGCGGCAATATCTGCGATGAACTTTTGCGTCGCCAGAGCGAGCAGGCGCGCGAGGCGGGGATCGGTCTGCGGCGGAGGGGGTAGGCCGGCCTTGGTCATGTAGTAGTTTGTAACCGCATCGGGAATCTGTGACCATCGTAGTTAGCTTCAAATGCGTCGTTGAGTCTGGGAGGCGAGGAGTCATACAATGGGAGCATAGTCGTCCATCTTGGTCAGGAACTCGCGCAGAGACATGTCCTTACGAGTGATCGCCTTCGGTTCGGGGCCAGGCGCGACTGCCTCCGGAACAGCAGCAGCTGGGGCTGCCGCCGGGGCACCGCCAGCCGGAGCGGCGCCGGGGGCAGGAGCCTCTTGCGAGTTGGGTGCGGTCGGCGCCTGCTCTGCGTTTGCTTCGGGGGCGTTGGTGGACATTGTTGCGATCTGCGACGATGAGGTTCTAGATAAGACTTCGAGATCTGGTTGACGCGCGACGTCCGCGAGGCTGATGAGGCTGGTGATGTAAGATGGAGTGGCACGGGCTTCGCTCACTGGTGTGAGCTGTGGCGCAGGTCACGTGCAATGTGGCCAGACTCAGGAATGCACTGTGTCTGAGCTTGAAAATATGGGGAACCCCAGTTAGTGTACCTTCTCAGTGTTCCTCACCTTCTTCTTCCATGCTCACCGAGAAGGTGCTGCTCACCAGCGGTGAACATCACCAGGCAATGATCGAAATTGTTGAGCGTTATCAAGCGAGGTTATAAAGGCTAAGGGACCAAGAATCTGACAACAAAGTTCGAGGCCAAGAATTGAAAACGTCTACTGCGCAAATCAGAGCACTTTCTCAGCATTAATATTGAATAAGGTGTGAAAGTTCACTGCATAATGCCATGCAGCGGATGAGTTAATGCTTAAATTGCACTCGAGCCTGTACAGTCCCATTTTTCCCCGTCTATGTGATATTCCTTATCTGAAGTTTAGATTACTTCGTGTCCACGATTGCTAAATTCGGCTGGTTGAGTATTTATGACTGCGTGTCTTGAGCATTATGCACTCGTAAGAATACTTTATAAAAGCACCTGGTAGTTTGCAAGCCAAGAATGATGGAAGGATGCTCGAGAAATATTTGGATTGCATCCCGACACACAACACGTCTTACGGCCCGGGGTTGATTGAATGGCGTTGATCATTTGGGAGAGCTACAGAAAACTCGTGAATGTGCCCGTCAACACGTGTCCCAACCACGTTGTTGAGTCGGGTGCTGGAAACGCGAAATTCGTTTGAGAATGCTACAGGCTACCTCTCATGGACCGGAAAAATCTTCCGAGCGCTACATAGAGCCTAAGGCTTAGCGCCCTCCTCTAAGATCTACGGGAGATCTGGCGTGGCTGCATCTTTTCCCAGGGGTGAACTCTATTTTGGCTCATCAGGGATTCTTTCGTGGTTGTGAAGAGCGTTGAACTACCTCAGTGGTGACTGAAACAAATTGATCGAGCCGGAAGAAAAGGAGGCCAGAGAGACAAGAACTCAATTAGGCGCATGTTAAACGGTCAATTATACGTTTGCAGGGGTTGTGGTGGCTGCTTTCGGTGTAACAATAGAATTGTGGTCGAAAATATGGCGGTTGTACTTGAGCATCGACTAACACTAGTATACTGGGAAAAAGCAAGGTTGTCCTTCCGGAAAAGGAGGAAGCATCTTCTTTCTGTTCGACTAATTCAAGTCTAAAGCAACCTCAGGAGTAAGGGACTAAGAGTGGTTGGTGTACCAAGAGAGATTGGCCTCGACATGTCACACCTATCCCCTTTACTTAGTCTGTTATCCAACCGTTTGGTGTGCTGGCGTGTGGTCTGAAACCAAGTAAGCCTTCTAGTTCAATCGTGCTAGACGTCTGAAGTGTCCCAAATCGGACAGATCTGTATTTTGGTGGTCCCAATCCGCTGTCAGCTCTTGCTTCAGCCTCAGCGGTATGAGGCGCCCAGTGGCGCCAACGGTTAACGTTGCCAGCCACCCATTCCAAGATCCGACTGATATGCTTAAACTTGATCTGGAATGTTCTCAGATAGCCGCAATACCAGCACTAGAATAGCTCATCGTTCTCCAGAATCCTTTATATCTGATCGTTTCTAGAAGCATGGTGTCTTTCTTCTTGACAGACTCTGAGCTTGCACGAGGAGTGTTCTTTTCAATGCCTCTTCGGTCTTCATTACATCTGAAATGGACCCCATATCGATTGCTGCGACTGCAGCGTCACTAGCAGGAGCTGCTGGAAGTGTGAGTGGTTTCTCCATGTCCTTCGGTTCATTGGTCTGCGAAGAGAGGCAGAGCATAGGAATACCCGCTTGCTGTTCGATTCATGCTTGCTGACGTTTTGCAGACTGCTATTGTGTTGATTCGACTGGCCAAAAAGGTCAAGAATGTGGACATCAAACTATCAGAGACTTGCGAAGAGGTCCAAAAGCTGTCTGGACTCCTTGTGTCCGTGGACAAGACAGTGAGGCAGTGTCAGACACACGTACCGTCACTTTCTTACTTTTATCACAACATATGGGGACAGATTGGAGACACCTTAGCAGACTGCAAGTCCAACATCGCTGGTCTCGATCAGCTCCTCCGAAAACTCAGCGTACATTTCGACGCGGAGGGCAATTCGCTTGCAACACTTCTCAGAAAAACAAACCTTTATTTCATCCTGAGTATCCACAAGGAAGAGATTCAAGACTACAAGGTCAAGATCTTCAATTCAAACTGGGCTATTCAGATGACTTTGCAGTTGGTAACCATGTAAGCATTCTAGTTCCGAACAAGATCTTTGGTTTCTTCAAATTGACGATTTATTAGTGCTCTCAGCTTCAGAACCAATATTTCTCAAGAGAGGTTATTCCAGGAGCTTAACAAGCTAGAGGGCATGATCAAAAATTCCCTTCGAAAGGCACACCAAGAACTACCCGGGTCCGAGGCGGAAAAGAACATGGGGATCGCAGCTCGCAACGTTCCTTACATCTACTTCGACATGTTCGACGAGGAGATCGATGAACGGAAGCATCCTTACGAGACAACTGACCATCATGGAGGCGTGCAAGCCAGCGGGAGACCAGACCAAGACGAAACTCTATCATCTAGGATTGCAGAGGATAACTGTGGGAACATGAATCAAGCCCTGAGCTTTTCACAGACGTCCTTTGGGTCATTGAGCCTCCCACCCCGGCCAGAGTCCCCGAAGAAGCATGCTGCCAGCCGTTTTTTTGACGACGAATTGGGAGAGACGGATATGGCAACCGGAAGAGTTGGTTTTGATCGGGGACGGAGGATGTCTGCCATGATACCTTCAACCCATCTACAGGTACATAACAATTCGATTGGGCGCCTTAGAAGTCACTCGCAAGGCTCCACGCCGTATTCGAGCACAACGGGGCACGACGGCGTTGCAAACTGGTATCGTTCGGTCGGGAAAGCTGAACTTGGAGACGAAGTAGCCAAGGAAGCCAGAACGGGATCATTTGTTGGTGATCTTTCGTCGCCAATCACCCGGTTTGATGACAACCTTGCTTCCGACTCAAGAGCTGAACAAGACCAGGAACGGCAAGAGAAGACTCAAAGACGACCGAGTCTGGTCATTACCCCGAACCAGCCTCCACGGCGTGTCTCATCGTACTCCGACGATGTCACTTCTTCCGCTGGCAAAGGATCCTTCTTCATCCCGACTTTGACCCGGGCAACTTCGGACAGCCTTCATCCATCATCTCGCCCTGTCGAGAGAGTCTTCTCAGCATCAACCCCTGCGACACCGGTATCTTGCACACCTCATCGGCTCGTCAAGGTGAAATCGTTCACGGACCTTCCAAGCAGAGCCCAATCGCAAAAGATGGACGGCGTAGACAGAAATCGGAAACATTGGTAGCGGGTTCCTCGGGCACATCGCATTTCCTGCAACACTCTAAACCGAGCCGTGGATCACGGTACATGAGCCACGAAAGGATGAAAGACGAAATGAAATTGAATATGCTATTGGTTGCAACACGGACAGGCAAAAGATACACGAGCGGTGGAAAGGGAAGATGGATTTGAGCAACGAACGACGGGTTTTGAAGAGATTGTAACTAGCCCGCCATAATACTAATAACTATACAGTAACACATTGCTTGTCCCTGAGCGCAGTACCTTTTGATTCTCTTTGATCAGCATCCGTCTCAGAAGCCATGCTAAGGCCGCAGCTGCCGCAGAAAATGCAGCACTTGAGGCCATAGCAGTAGTATATCTGGGTTCGTCTGAGGCCGGCCAAAGGTACTTCAGAATTGTAAGCCAAGCCTGAGGGACGCAACCTTGAGACAATGTGTATGTGTACTTACAGGAGTGTATATGGGTCCGATTGTGGCGATGGTATTTACCAACGCAAGAGACACAGCTTTCTTTTCTCTCGTTTGCCCACAAGTACTCGATACCCATCCCAGGATCACGCTGTTGCAGGCATAGACTCCGGTTGCGAACGCGCACATTGCGAAGTAACGAGCCCCGGTATTAAGCGTACTGCAGGCCAGGACAAACCCGAAGACCGCAATAGCTTTGGCGATCGTGATATGCCACACTCTTTCGTTGAAACGCCCTAAGTTGGTTAATTCATTGTTAACCAAATAAAACCGAAGAAAGAGTACGCAAGAAGCTCACCAGAACTAGCAGCCCAAATCACAGATATAACACCAGAGATTAGATAAGGTGGACAAGTAAGAGCGAGAGTGACGTTCCTATCGAAGCCCAGAGTTTCAACTATCGTGGGGAAGAAGTTTTTGAAGTTGCTTGCAGCCATGTGGCAGTGTTGACAACAGACAAGAACCCAAAGACGCGGGTCGCGTGTCGCTTGGAGCAGGCCGACCCAAGTGCTCGTGTTATCTTCAAGTTCGACGGTGTCTCTCGCTACCCGGGCATGCGCAAGTCTTTGGTCATCTTCAGACAACCATCGCGTGTTAAGGGGCTCGTTCGGTAGAATGAATATGGAGGCAATAGAAATGACGAATGTAATGACTCCTTGGATGATAAATAACCATCTCCAGCCAGACAGGCCGGCTAGTTGTTCCATTTGGAAGACTCCAATGGCGATGAGACCCGCAAAAGCCGTGCCGCAAATATTAGCACTAAACAAAATAGAAATTCGAGTGGCGATTTCCTGTCGATCGTAGAACATGGCGAGGATGTACAAAGCTCCTGGGTAGAAGGGGGCTTCCGTAATCCCCAAGAAGAAGCGTGTGAGAAGAAGACCCTTGTAGTCCTTGGTCACTGCTGTGAGGGTGCTAACGATGGCCCATAGAGCCATCGCTCCTCCCATAAACCAGGAAGGACGGACCCTTGTTATGAGCATATCTGTAAAAGTCAGACTTGGGAATGGCATGTGAGGGAGGCCTTACTGCTTGGAATCTGCCCTAAGATGTACCCCACGAAAAGAATGGAGACACAGGTCTGGTACTCCGTCGACGTCATGTTGAGCTCTTCTTCCATTCCGTCTAACCTAGCGACAGTGATAGCATTCCGGTCGAGGTAGCTGTAGTAATCAGCCGCGGCGCTTTAGTTGGTCCTAACATTGCTTACTTGAACCAATACATGACCCAAAGCACAGGGAGAATGGTCCAATCTAGGCGCCTCACAAGCTTGATCTCTGCTGGACTGGCTTTTTTCCCTGTGCCAGTATGGCCAATATTGCTGGCTACTGGCCCAAGGCTTTCGCCTTTCTCAACATGATCGCAAGCAGGCGTATCTTCCTTGAGTTCGATAGGGGCCATTTCATGAAATTCGCGTTGGGTTTCGTTGGTCATACGTGCAAATTTCCAAGTCGGAGGCGATCTGAGCAAGAAACCAGTCAAAAATCTCGGAAAGTCGAGTGAACTATTTATACAAATCTTTGCTGATGATGACAATCGTATGCTATATTTCCCCAGATTTCCCCCAAATTTACCCCAGACTACCCCAGAGATCCTGCACGTTTCCGTCCGCTAGCGTCCGTGGCTCCAGCGACACTGTCGCTGGCTCGATTGATTGTCGTTTAGCCCGGACAAAGTATGGCTCGATAAGCTCGGTTGCAGACGGATTATGGCATATGCCGAATGTACTCTGTGAGGTTCAGTCCGGCCTTACACGGATCGCAGGAGCGGGGCCGAGGGCCAGCAGGCCGGTGCGGGGCCCATCGGATTGACACGGATTGACACGGACCTATGAGGTCCGATGCGGATCGACACGGATCAAAATGGCGTTGGATTTGACTGGTACCTGACTTCTGGTTTCTCTGACTGCTCTTTTCGATACTGGGCAAGCTTCCAGACACAAGCGGCGGCAATGTGACTTGACTAGGGCAAAGTATTCTTCAAGTTGCAATACAGGACCTTTGATTGCTTCACGAGCTAATATCCGGCAGGTTCCATAAGAAGTTGAGAGAATCAACATCGAAACCGTGGGATAGCTGATCTGCTGTATCGCCAAATGGAGCTATGCTGGAGTCAAATTGCCACGTTCGCCAAAATCCCGACTGATCCAGTAATGCTGCTTCAGTTATCGCTGTCGTCTCTGAATGAGAAGTTGTGAGATCAAGTCCGCCATGAAGACTGCCCGTATGGCCATGTGGTAAAGTTTGGCTCGGCCTTCTTCCTTCTCTCAAAGGTTGAGACATCGATGACAGCGTGCCACGGAGACTTGACGCATGTCTTTCAATGAGATTAGCGTATCTCATCGCGAAGTCCATGTCGTCTGGCGGATAGTTCTTCAGGGTAAAAGTGCACCGATCCAGCGCACGCAGAGCTCCATCCACATCTGTTGCTGGCGACCCAAGGCTGATAGCCTTTAGCAGAAAAACAGATGCCGAAATTACGTTCAGTCTGATACGGGCAGGAGCGTATGCCAGATGTTCCTTGAATGGTCTCTCGGTTACCATTTCTAGCACCTGACAGCTATCTGAAAGGACACCTTGCAGAAATTTCGCGTCTTGGACGGTCATGTACGAAGCCAGACCGTCTTGATGTGGCCGCACTGACCCCGAAACAGTTGCCCGTTTTACTACTGCCTGTACGGAAATAGAACCAATGCAGGCTTTTAGATGGTACAATTCAATGAGCAGCGAATCTTTGAGAGGTTCGTGAGTATCTTACGAAACTAGTCAGACATAGAAGGCGATTTGGTCAGCTGGGAGTGGGGTTTCAAACCTGTCAGAGTCGACCCAAACGTATTATTCCAGGTCGACAGCGAGGCGAGAAAGTGCTCCAGAAGATCGGGGTAGTTATCATTTTGAAGAACAGCCTCCAGGTGATTTTTGGATTGAAAGAACATTGTCGATGCCACTTTCGAAAGCCGGGTAAGCTCCAGGTACGCATCCACGTGAGTGTTCCATGAAACCTGTGCCTCGTCATCTATATGTCGCATTGATGATCGGGCAACTACAATTGAAATGCTTTCTGGGAACACGGTTTGATAGCCAAGTCGTGTCGCTGTCTGTGTCATGTAGGTGTAAAGAAGCTTTTGAGCTCGAAATTTCCGACGCTCAGCTATGTTGAGGCCAGACGCGTCTCCTTGATGGTCGCTGGACAAAATCCCAAGCTCGTATGCGAGATTTGTCGCCAAGCCAAGAAGCATCCAAGACATCCGACTGGCTCTTTTTGCTGGCTCGAATACATCTTTACGCCACCGGAGGAGTGGTTCTTCATTATTTGTACGCTTGCGATTTTGGCGATCATATTCGGTGTCGACTAGCACGGCATCCCAACCCTCTGTATCCGGTGGGAAATGTACAGCGCGGGGATGCCAATCCGATATCAGTAATAAACTTTCAATAGTTCCAATAATTCTCATTTTGGCAGATGAGACTTTCTCCTGGCCGAGTATGATTCGCTTTATCAGGGACTCGCAATACTGCCAAAGACGGTTGTGTATAAGGTGGCTTCTAGATACTCCGCCTGCGCCTGGGAGCATGAAGAATCGTGAAGAGATCATCAATATTGTGCAACAAAGCATTGACTCTTCACATATGAGAGCGGTGTGTGCTTCGTGATTCCAGTACTGATCAATGACGACTGGTGACCATGGAGACAGGTATTTGTAAAATCTGCTATCAGGATCAGTGATCAATCTTCTTCATTGCAGTTTATCCTCTCACAGATCAACATATGTGACGGCCTCTTGTGAGGTAAACCAGCCTTGTCTGACAAATCTGCATTTATCCCACATGTCCAGGATGGCATCAGTCGGCTCCGACAGAGTTATTATGTTGAACCCCGCTCCGCTCTGGCAGCCTGGACTCCTAGCCGCAGGGACAGCAACTGGGACATCTTGCATGGCCAGAGTTGTTTGTGTGGGTGGCCCAGAAGCAGGCGATGCCGTATTGTGGTGAAGCAAGTTTGCCGCGTCAGACAACACGTCGAGCGCATCATTAGAACCCGTCACAAGACTCGACATGACCCTATCAGAGATTGACCTGCTGTCTGGAAGGGAGCTCTGAGGCCATGCGATGGAGTGGTTATCAGGATCGGTTGATGGAATAGTGTCTTCAGGAGAGACCTCTTGCTGATGAGGTCGAACATTGGCTTGAGTCAATGCTGCCGAGGATACCGCTTGGGTTACGTCGGATGAACTCTGCTGTGCCGGTGATGTCGTTGTACGTTGCGCTGTTGTCGATCCTGCCCAGGCCGGGACATCTCTATGTTTCGCGGTTCTGGGGCGACGGTCAAATCGGCAGTCGCGATGCTCTCGTTTGCACTTCGCACAAGGCGGCTTCTCTCCCATGTTGCATCTTACTTTTCGAGCTCGGCAAGAATCACAAGCGACATATGTCCGTCTATACCGTGGGGACTCCTGCGGTGCCGAGTCATCCCCAAGGTCGGCCCTTGATCCATCATTCATCATGAGTGTCAATCATGAATATGAAAGATGGTCTATGGGGGCCCTGCTTGAGTCAACCAGGAGCTGTGGGCCATTGGGACTGATCTTACCTCGTGGAATCACCCAAGTATCCAGTCTATGCAATTAGCAGTAAGCCGACGTTGTTGACGATCAGTTGAAGAAAGTGATGAGGAGGAAAATCATGCCCGCGACGCTCCGCGACTATCCGCGTCGGTCCGCCCTTGCATGCCCCGCCGCGCAGCACCATCCGTGCTTGGATCCCCGCACGAAGCGGCGCTGACGATGGCCTGGCCAAGAGGCATCTACGAAGACCTTAGGGAAACACGTTGCCGAAGTTCACAGTTTGCGCTTCACCACTCCGAAAATCGGACGGGGAAGATATTGTTTTTGGTGCACAGAACCCATCATCAATCGTGTATATAAGATGCCAGTTTCTGTGGTGAACTTGGTATGGGCAGGTGGACATCCGGCCCAACATTCACAGACTTCAGTTTCACTTATTCAAGCATTTCGAACTCACACACCATGTCCAAATCAATTGTAAACACAAACCCTTATCCCTTTCACTTCGAGACAAACAGCCTGCCAAGTGTCAAGAAGAGCGGCGACCGCGCAACCATAAGCTTAGACAGCTCTCGCGGACGGATTCCGTCCCTGCAGGCGTCCAAGCTCCGCTCCCTTATGCAGGAAGCTCATGATGACCCTTCCAAAATTGTTGCACACGTCTGCAGCTACGATGCTCTCAGCTCTCGACTTTGCGAGGAAGCCGGATTTCCCATTGTCTTCCTTGCTGGCTACGCCATGGCTTCTGCTTTTGGCCTGCCTGATACAGGATACATTGCATTCCAGGAGGTCGCAGCGAAGGTCCAAGAAGTTGCACGAGTGACCAGCGTCCCGATTCTTGTGGATGGCGACACTGGATACGGCGGTCCTATGAACGTCAAAAGAACTGTGGAAGGGTACAGTGACATCTAGCCAAATGGTACTCTATGCAGGCTAACCTACTCTGAATAGCTTCGCAACAGCAGGAGCTGCCGGCATCATGATTGAGGACCAGACTTGGCCGAAGAGTAAGATATTTTAGCCACCCCTTGATGATTTGATGATGAACTGGGGCTAAGTGTTCCAGGATGCGGTCACACCGCTGGCAAAAGTGTGGTCTCCAGAAGTGAGGCATACGCCCGATGGCAGGCTGCAGTGGATGCAAGGAACGAAGGATTGGATATCTGGATCATGGCTCGAACCGACAGTCTCATTCTTGGGTATGATGAGGCGCTTGCCAGGGCCAAGAAGGCAATCGAGATTGGAGTCGACGCTGTCTTTGTAGAGGCCCTTCCCGATCGTGAGACCATGGCGCGCCTGCGGAAGGATCTCGACTTCCCCCTTTTCGCCAACATCATTGAGGGCGGAAAGACGGAGAACCTTTCCGCGAAGGAATTGGGTGAACTCGGATATTGCGGAGTGGCATATCCATGGACACTCGTCGCAGCCAAATTGAGAAGCATTCGGGAAACACTGGAGGCACTCAAGGGTTCCCTCACTGTCGGCAAACCACCAACCGTTCTTTCCTATGCGGAAGTGTGCGACGGTGTTGGATTCAACAAATACTTTGAGCTGGAGGAACGGTACCAATACGATGGCAGAACAAACGGAGCCAACGGACATCAGTGGAAGAACTAGCTTTTGGCAGCTTGTGTACATCAGCGCAGTTTGAGTTTGATATCAATCCGGACAAGTTCGCGAACGGTGTTCATGGAAGATCACACATGGGAATGCCAAGCGAAATCTACGCTCGGCCTGCTTCGAACTTAAGGGAATCGGCGATTCTTGAGAAGCTGATCTTCAACCTCAGAATTTCGTTTCAATTTCGTTTTCAAAAAGGCGGCCCGGGCTACTGATTGACCTTGAAATTGCGGTGTGCTCCTTTGACTGACTAGCGGCTTTCCCGACTCTAATTCGTGATCGACGTCAGCTAGGAAGAAACTTCAGACGACAGGACATGAAGCCTTGGGGTGACCCAGTTTTCGTCAAGCCATCCTCCAGGCAGAAGGCATGAATGCACTGTGGACCCATTCACAGCCAAGGAAACCGTTGCAGCATCAAGACACCCGGGATCTCGTCGTTTTGTCACTTTGTACATTACTCACTATCACGATTGAAGCTCAAGTTGTAAAAGATGAAGACGTAAATTCGTATCAGAACAAGCCTGACTGATGCCTAGCACGCTAGTCTAGACAAAGATCTATGCAATCTCTATGATATCCCAAAACCAAACCCATACTCCGAAATAAATGCTCTTCGGCGGGGGAAGAGGGCGCGATGGCGCCAGTAGCAATCAACTCCTTATCATGTCCTGGGTGGACGACGTGCGATGCTCGTCGTCGGCAATCGTAAAGGCTGTTCCGTAGCCTCTCAGGATGGAGGAAAGCTCATGTTGCTGGAGGATCCAGCGGTGGGGGTGCCGAACGAAAGGGGTGCGTCAAAGCACATGCCATACAAGGCATTTAGTCCTCGGTCTTGTGGAGAGAGCCGGTGATGTAGCCCTCCTCAAGGTTGTCAATGACCTGGACGTCCTCAGGGGAGAGTTCGAAGTCAAAAGACTCGAAGTTGGACTTGATGCGGTGGGCGGTCAAAGACTTGGGGAGGACGATGTTGCCCTTGGCGGCGTTCCAGTTGAGGAGGATCTGCGCGGGGGTCTTGCCGTACTTCTCAGCAAGCTTGCCAATGACGGGGTCCTCGAGCTTGTTGCCACGTGCGAGAGGAGAGTAGGCCTCGATGGCGATGCCGTGCTGGCGGCAGACGTCGACGAGGTCCTGGCGCTGGAGGAAGGGGTGGACCTCAATCTGGTTGACAGCGGGGACAACAGAGGTCTCGGCCATAAGCTCCTCGAGGTGGTTGACACCGAAGTTGGAGACACCAATGGAGCGGACCTTGCCGAGGCGCTGGGCAGTCTCAAGAGCTCTCCAGGAGGCAATGCGCTTCTCCTTGTCGTCAGAGGGGGAGTGGATGAGGTAGAGGTCGAAGTAGTCGAGCTGGAATTTCTTCAGGGAGTCGCAGAGGGCGTTGAAGGTAGCCTCGTAGCCGTGGTCAGCATCCCAGAGCTTGGTGGTGATGAAGACCTCGCTGCGGGGAGTGCCAGTCTTCTGGAGCCACTTCTTCAGGGCGCGGCCGCAAGCCTCCTCGTTGGCGTATCTGGCAGCAGAGTCGATGTGGCGGTATCCGGCATCGAGGGCGGCGATGACAGCCTCCTCAGTCTCCTGGCCGTTGGGGGCCTTGTAGACACCAAGGGCAATCTGGGGGATCTCGTTGCCATCGTTGAGCTGGACGGTGAGGCGGGGAGAGTCGCAGGGAGAGGCGTATCCAGAGTCCTGGCGGCGAGGGTTGATAACCTTCTCCATACCAAGCTCAGGCTTGCGGGAAGCGAACTCAACGGCGGCCATTTTGAATGTGTGTGGTGGTGGTGTAAATCGAAAGTGTCGAAGTTGTTGATACTGGAGAGAGATGGGTATCAGATGAAGCTGTTGAGAGGCGCGGAGAAGAGTATTTGAATGTGATGAGATTGGATTGGAGTGGTGTGTGATGCTGGATCGAAAAGGGACCCATTGAAGCAGATTCATCTCGTCCTTTTTATCCTTTTCGATGTCTCTTTGAAGAACAACAGTGGATGGCCTCCTGTTTCCTTTTTCGGACCGATGGCGTCTTGCTGTCGCCTGCGGCGGACCCGCCGTAAATGTCCCGTCCCTACCAGGTTGATGCCCCGTTGAGGCTGGGGACAGTGCCCCGTAGAATTTGGGTCTGTACCTCGTTGGTGTTGAGACGGTATCTCGATGTTGTTTTTCGAGTCGGTGCCGGCGGTTCCCCAGTCGGTCTCCGTCCGTTGTCTCGACGGTACTGGGTTGAACCGTCTTGAGGCCCCGTTAGACCAGCGATAACGGGGTCTTCTCAGTCTCTGACCCGCACACAACTGGAGCCAATGACGTAGAACTTCTCCGCCGGCGTTGGGCCGTTGCTCCGCCGTGCTATGGGCCGATGACGTGCCGTGTCTCCGCCGGTGCTGAGCCGATGGACAACGACCGAGTCAGGGCGTGCCCGCATACATACCTACCTGAAGGCTGGCGGCCAAGCGCGCTCGTATGTACTGCCGCCTGCGTATCCGTAGACTGAGGCCCTCACCTCCCTCTCCATGGACCATCCCGAATCCCGCCTAGCCTGACAAGGGCGATTCATGGCTTATCGATACCGGCACGGGCGCTGTATCAGACGAAATGGTGTCCTGGTTATGCCCGTTATGAGGCTGAAGTATGGTTCAGCACAGCCAAGATCTTGGTTGTTGAGCCTCAATCTGTGCCTTGCTCTATTTTTTCCCATCGCTTTTTTCGGGTGGTGGCAAATAAATTGATCTTCAGCCTCTAGCGTGAATCTGTCATTCAATCATAACTCGCAACGGTCGGACGCGAGAAGTTTTCTAGAATTAAACTGGAGCCTTAGCCAGGAACATTGTTCGGTCTATTTTTCCCGAGGACACATTGCAGAGACATTGCAGACAGACAGCCACTTTGGCGCCGTTTCAGCCGTCGCCGTTTGCGATAGCTAAAGACATGCGTATTCGTAGGTAGATGGTCTCCGTAAAACCCGAGGCAGAAGTGGTGGCTGTCCACCACCACCACCACCACCACCTCCTCCTCCTCCTCCTCCGGAGTGCAACCCGCAAATGAGGGACTTTGTACGGGGTTTCTGGGTAAGGTGTCTGAAATGAAGCGCCCTTAGCGACGGCAACACTCCATCTGCTCATGACGTCAGGCCGCGGAGGCCCTCACAGTGGTGGTGGATCTTTTAAAACGTGGTGCTTCTCAAGCTCCATCTTAAACTGGATACTGAAGCCCGAGAAGTTCCCGGAAATGGTGTTCTGCGCGTATGGCGTATGAACGGATGGCAAGCGCGATGCGGGACGGGTTGTGATGCGAGTCGCGAGTTTGCCATCACATGTATGATGTACACCTCCAATCGGCATCTCCTTGGGATGAGCAGGCTGTCACCGTGTCGCAGAACTCCCACTCAGCCCGTACCGTGTACGTACCCGGACTTGGTTGAACTGAACGGGAAATGGAGAAGACGGTGAAAAGTTGTTCTAGCGTTTACAACGCTGGGGCCTTTCAGGAAACTCTTGATCCCTGCTTCACATCGTTGATTGGCCTTCCACCCCTGCGAAACTCAGGAACGTGGTTTCAGGCCACGCCGTGATGTCATTAGAGGATCCGATGTAGGGCGGAATGGAGGCATGTAGCCTGCAGGACCCCTATGTCCTATCGGGAGTGTTCGGAAGGGCCCGCTGTTCCTCCAGCCTGGGCGAAGAGGTGGACGACTTGGCTGCCTCTTGGGAACTCGACAATCTGTGCGTTTGCAACAGCTTGACAGCCATTGGAAGTTTGAGCCTTATCGGCCTCTTTTCCGTCCAGCATCCGTATCGCTATCGGTTCCCTGTGTGCCGTGTCCGTGTTCATGCCCACGGTCGGTGAGGCCTTGGGTGGTATGTCCCTGTTTGCCGTCTTCTGCATGGCTCTAAAGCATGAGACGAAGGATTGAGAAAGGATGTTCTCTGCAGAGAGACCCTGATTGACCAAGTTTGCGAGCCCTATCGATGTTCGCTGTCAACCAAAAAAAGACAAGAAGAAGAAAAACAGAAAAGAATTTTTTCACATGTGCGCCAAGCCACCAGCCCAGCAAATTGGACGCGCCTACGACTTGTCGAGGCAGTAGATCGGCAGGAGATATCCGGATTTTCCTGTACATCTTCTCAAAGCCGCGAAAGGAAGCCGCGCCGCCGCCTTGCAGGCAACGCAAGCAGCCAAGCAGAGCCTTCCCGAGATCCCTGCTGGCGACTATCGATACCGACCCCTATCTGCCTGAAGAGGCATCTATCTACGTGATTGCGCTTGCAGTGCAGTGCTTGTGCTTGTGCTTGTGCACCCTGAGACAAGGCCCTATCAACGACCCACGCGTTCTCCAGTTTACTATTATCTCGTCCAAGGCAACAAGGCACATTCTCGTTCTGCCAGCCTGCCTGGCGTGATTGTGGACTCGAAACACAGTTTATTACTGGGTAAATGCCTCGTAATGTGGACTGGGACTGGCTGGCGCTAAGGCCAAGAGTCGAGTCCCAAAGGAACCCCCGTCTCGCCGTGAAAGGATCAATGATAGGGAGGTATCAACACACAGACTGGAGGGCAGATCTCTGGTGGAGCCCCGATGCAAGGTGAAAAAATGTCCCTCACCCTTCAGCCTCTCAGCACGGTGCATGAAGACCAAAAATCCCAATAGGACTCGGTGCTATTGGCGGTGTGTTGACCTTCACACACCGATAATGGGGCAAAAGGGTCCACCTTGCCAGCATAACATTGATAATGGATTTTCCTCTCAGGACCTCTTGCTCGTTGCAGCGCCCGTCTTCATTGGATGATGATCTAAACTTCAAACTCTGCTGGATGTCATCCCTGGAGAGGCTGCAGAGTCAAACTTGGTTTCATGAGGGATTTCACGCCGACAGCTAAGTTGCTGCGGTAAGATTACGTCTTAATGCATCGGGATCAGGCAATGAGGCAGGTTTCTTGCGGGAGGCTGGGATAGGAAAAAAAGACTCCCGCGAGGTAGCCGAGAATAATGGCGAAACGGCCAGGTGGAAGAAGATCCTAAGAATGGAACCGAGTCTGCGCAAAGTGAGACGCACTGCGCCTGTCAATCTTACAAGCGCAAATGGAGGGGAAAAACAACGCATTCAACAATGCCATTGAGCTCGGACATACTCGTCATCAAATGCCGTGGCCGACGCCGTACACGTAGATAGCTGCGCAAGATAACGCTGAATTGTTGCAATCAACGCCCGACGTGGCACGAGTCAGGGCAGACGTCGATGAGAGCATCCCAATAGAAAATGGCGAGGTAGAGTAACATCAAGTCGTTTTTGCGCATGTCGCGCCACGAGTCGTAGATGTTGATCAGCACCGATCCCCAACGGCCTTCGCGTCAAAAGTCGGAGGAGAGGAAGATGCCGGAGAATGACGTGGAGGCCTCATGAGGGTAAAATTCTGATGAACGATGAAAAAGTCTTTCGGTCGGAATCACTGAGGGTTTGATGAACTTGCAAATTGAGAAGGGCTGCTGGAATGGAGCTTGACTTACATGCGATATAGTTTCACTTTGCGAACCCCGGAAAACGCGAATGCTTCGCACCCCACAATGATCAAAAAACTCACGATGGCTTCATTTATGGGTCACGACTGCAGAACCTCTCGCGAAATACCGACACGTCAAAACACAAAGCCTCGGAAAACCGCGACGTCGACAGCATCAGAACTGATGTCTTGATAGATATCCTGCCATATTATCAGCTTCAAGACTGTCAAACGGCCATTTCGGTGTTTTTGGGCCTTGTTGCTGGACAACACTAAGTTCGACGCTAGGAGACAGTTTCAGAACGAACAGGCTGCTCCAAAGACTTAACTCACTGAGTATTTCGCATATCTGAGCATCAGTCGTCTTCTTTTCGAAGGCCTCGTAGCCGCGCAGCCATCGCATGTCGTTGAAAAACTCCACCTCCACATCGTGTGGATAAGTGGTCCCAAAGAAAGCCTCACGATAATGCTACAGCGGCTGCGAACCGAACATCTGGGTTGGTATTTGGATGAATAAGCAACTACAACCTCTTGCCGTACCTACAACAGTGTACATCGCCAACAAGGGAGGATTCCACAGTGATTGCCTGGCAACCACTGGTACCAGTCTCTGTCACAAAGTACGATTTTTGTCAATGGTTTCACCGCGGGCGAGTTATTCAAGGTAGATAAGGCTATGACGTCAATACTCAACACCGATGAGAAGCGGAACTGTTGCTGCATTGCTTTGTATCAACAACATCTCGGGGGATCCCTTTTGCGTCAAGTAAATCGGCATGTTCTGATAAGACCGTCGTGATGCCAAAGAAGTGAAGTCGATTTAACGACCAGGTTCCAGTTTTGGGACCCAACGATTCAAAATGCCAATTCTTGCCCAACAAAATCCTCCGTGACATCGATCTGCAAACACCTGTTCCCGAGACCAGTTTTTTCTCCTTTGACAGCAGAGTCAACCAGCTTGGTACTGACGATCACGATCCGATCGATACGCAGCGGCTACCGAGCTCGCTAAACTCGCCGCGTCGGCGGTTTTGCGGCGGTAACCGTATTCCTGGTTTTTCGCAGGAGGGCCGCAGCGCGGATCGTGACGCCGCCGGTGGGACCTCAAGTCTCGAAAACCTTGGAAGTGGTTAACTTGGTGCCCCCGCCGCACTCGGCACTGGCCGCGGTGCCGAGGCGTTCTGGAAGGCCTGGGGGCGTTTCTTCTTTCGACCACGGGCCCGCCGCTGCTGCAGAAGCGAGTGGCGGAATTCTTATCTGGTCGGGCGCCG